AAGAAATTCTCTCATGTTTGTTGTATTTGAGAATTTCTCACATAAATTTGTTATATATAGAGAATTTTTACAACATAGCAATATGAGAGAACTCATGCCATTCATGTGTGAGAAGTTGTCTCAAATTTATATTGAAAGAACTTCTTTTAGAACCATTCTGCAAGAACTTCTCTTAGTTTCAAAGGCCGTGAGAACTCCTTGCAAATATTGGCATGAGAAATGATTTTCACAATTTTGTTCATATAAAATATTTTTTCCTTCAACTATTTTAATGTCAAACCTTTTGGCATGATAAATCTTGTGAGAAATGATGTTCTTACATAATTTTGAGTGTTTTCTCACAGAAATATGCAGTGAAAAAACATTGTTTTGGTGTATTGGCATAGGATGAAGAATGTTTATGTAGGACACTATAGATGATTATGAATGTTGGTACCATAAATGGGAAAAATCTTTTAATGGAAAATTAGAAGAAGGTAGGCCATCTAAGCTATTGACTGGTATGGAGCTTCTTGGAAAAGTCAAGGATTTGGATATCACATTTGGAAAACCATTTACAAAGGATATAAGAACAACCAGGTAGAGAAAGAGGAATTTTTTTTAGTTACCATATTTGAAAACATTGAATGTAAGGTTTTTTTTCTTAATATGATGCACATTAAAAAATATGCATGTGATAGTATTGTAGGGACTCTATTCCATATTTCAAGAAAGATCAAGGATGATATCTATGCAAAGTTAGACATGATTGAGATGGGGATAAGAGAGGAATTGGCACTGGAGGAAAAGGGAACTCAAATACTTCATGATGCAACTCACACACTATCTAGAAAGGGAAAAAAATTATTGTGAGTTTCTTAATGGAGTTCAAGTTCTAATGGAATACTCTTTAAATGTGAGGAACCTAGTTTCATTGAAGGACCTAAAGCTAAAGGGTTTAAAATCTCATGACTATCATGTTTTGATGAAAAATTTTACGCTAGTAGATATACGTGGTACTGTGCTTGACACTGTGTGAGCAATGATCACAAAACTTTGTTTCTTCTTTAAGGCTCTTTATAGTAAAGTAATTGATCCATAAAGTTGTTGAGGTTGCAAAGATGGGTTGTATAAATATTATGTGAGTTAGAGATATATTTTCCTCCTGCATTCTTTAACAATATGGTCTACTTAACTATTCATATTATTAGAAAGGTACAATTGTGTGGCTCCACTTACTTAAGATAGAAGTATCATGTTAAATGTTACAAGAAGGTATTAAAAGACTATGTGAAAAATTAGAATCAATTAGACATATGTATTGTCAAACAATATATCAAAGAAGAAAATGTTAACTTTCATACCTAGTACTTAAAGAATGTTAGGGATGTTGGGCTTTTAAAGGATTGTTGTGATGATGACAGGACAATAGAAGAAAATTCATTACTATTTCAAATGAACAGTGGGAAAAAGCAAATCTTTATATACTTTATAGCTCTCTAGAAATCGATGAGTATGAAGAGAAGCGCATGGCAAAGTTTGAAGCCACAACCCTTAATAGAGGAGAACAATGGATTACTAAAATGCACAACAAATAGTTTATCGACTGGTTGAAAGGACATGTTAATGATATGTACGATACCGATCGTAATTTAGTTCATCAGAGATTGAGATGGTTGGAAAATGAGTTGGCTAAGCATATTCTTTCTTACACTAGTTATGTCATTAATGGATACATATTCTATACAAAAGGGCATGATGATCGGAGTATAGTACAAAATAGTGGTGTAACTTTAGTAGCCGACTCATCTTCTTATGACCACCGTCCCAAGCTCTCCAAAGACTAATAAGACAAGCACAAAATTTAGCCATGAGAAGATTGGTGATTGTCCTTAATGATACCCCCACAACTAGCATTCTTACTAGCTAAGATGAGAAAAGGCACTGTCAACACAAACACAACCCTAACCTTCTAGCGATCTAGGATAGGGTACCCACATCCTTGACAACTCCATTAATCTACACTCATCTCTGACTTAGCTATGCTTCATTCTATCTAGAAACCATAGCCTTGGCTCTGAAAAATATTTGATGCATGAATGTATTGATATTTTCAAAAAATTATGTCATTCATTCTCTTCTATAGGAGCCAACAAATAACTACAAATAATTCCTTACAATTTCCATCAACCTACCCTACTGTCATAGAAGCATTCAAGTAGCACTAATCTCATATATTACAATTGAAAAAACTTGAGAGAATACTCATTTTGATGATAGAACTCCACAAGGATTTTATTTCCCTCATAGTTGCAGAGAACATGGAGAGAATCTTCAATTTCATGGCAACACTAGATACAAGAGGTGAAATCACTCAATCCTCTACCTTTTCGAGCCTCATTAGTCAAAAGCTTATTTTGGAGCATTAACCAAGAGAAAGACTTGCATTTTTGAAGAATATTCAATTTTCAAATTTTATTCCAAATAGGATGAGAAAAATCATCATTTAGCAAATTGTAAGTAGATTTAAAGGAGAAATTACCATATTTTTCAAACTTCAATCAAATAGCTTCATTTCCACTTCTCCCAACGACCTGCTCACCTTACATGATTTTTCCCAACTATCTCAAATGCCCATCCCAAGCGTGAACCAATCCAAGATCTATCAATATTGGGGAGTAAATCATCCCCACAATGATACTTATTTTGACAACTCTTGCCCACAATGCATTTTTATTATTCATCAAACCCCATCTTTTTGGAAATTTAGAGGGGCATCTTTGTTGGCCATTAAAAAAAAAATAGAGGCATCTTGTTGCCTCGCTATTTTTCTAAGTAAAAATAAGATGAAACACGAAAAGAAATATTTTCATCTCATCTCATATTATATGCTTATTTTAAATATCAAGGAATTTTTTTTAAAATTTTATTGCCCAGTACCCCAGGAAACCTAGAGTTTTACCACCACTTGCATAGACTAATCTAAATCCCCATTTTGTGAGATTGTTATTATCAATGAAGGCCTTACGAGTACCTCAAAAATTCTTTAGATATTTTATTTAATGGGACTGTATATCATAGGACTCAAATTCGAGATCTCAAGAAGTTGATTCAACTCTCTTAACTAATTGAATCAAGCGTCTCTTTTATATAAATGATATTTTCTACAAGTTAACAATTTTTAAAGTGCTGTGATAAAATTTCTTAACTTGTGCGAGCGGTAGGTAACTCCTTCAACGTTAACCATGTCATGCAATGCTAATCACTCCTTGTATTATAATAAATTGAAGGTGATGCGGAACGTTGAAATAATGAGACTATTAGGCATTTAGAATGGAACAGTGTTAGTCTCATCACATATTGTATTGGATTTGAAAAGTGAGTCACGCTATTTATGACTTATAAATAATGTGTAGCATGGAATTAGATTATTGGAGTTTAAGATGCTACAGAGTTTCACAATTACACACTAATTAAGACATAACCTGACCCTAGCAAACAGGGGGAGAAATTGATGAAGAAACGAGATCTTGTCATGAACTCAAGTACTTCAAATCCCATAATTGATATCATTAAGCATATGGGAAGTCTAATTGCTACAAAAAAAAATTTCTTAAAGTATTGATATGAGGTTCAAATATGAGATTACAAGCATATCATCAAGCAAGAAAATGAAGAAAGGGAAGAAGAACTGAGGGGAAGTGTTACGAAAATTTAGAGAATAGTTTGAATTTTAGATTAGGTTAATCTATATTTTCTTCAGTTTTCTTCTCCCTTTTGTTGATCTTGTGTGTTTTGGTATTTTAGTTATCCTTGATGTACCATTTGTGTGCATTTCTGTTTTAATTTTTTGGCCGCCAACTGTGTATTTCTGTTTTGGAAGTCTTAAATTTTTCCTAAAAAAATCCAAGAATTAAATCATCGCCGTCATCATCCTGTGCAAGAAAAACACGTGCTGATTCCTATAAAATATTGACAGTGACGTCTAAAAATAATCATTTCTTGGATTTAGTCTTGTTGCCTACAGCTCCAAGAAGCATTCCTTTGTCTCATGTTCTAGTACTGAAGCCGAATACAAGGCAATTGCTGCCCGTGATTTAATCTGAATTCAACAACTATTACAAGATTTGGGCGTTTTAATTTTTGGGTGTTCTCTTTTCTTTGTGATAATTTTGGAGCTACCTTGCAGCTAACCTTGTTTTTCACTCTCGAGCCAAAGTTATTGCCTCAGATAAACATTTTGTTAGTGAATTGCTAAATTACTTGGAGTTTCTTATTTATCTTCTTCAAAGGATCAATTGGTTGATTTATTCACTAAATCTTTCATTGGCTCCTTGGTTTGCCTCTGTACTAGCGTAATTCTATGTTGCTATCTGCACCTTAGCTTTGACTTCCCACGTCACCGTCTACCTCAAATACTATCACGTGATTTATATTTTGTTTCTAAAATTTTCTTCCCATTATTTATCATCGTCTTGTAAGGAGGTGCTACCTCCCTCGGTCTACAAATATTGAGCAATGTAATGATTTCAATATGAAATGAAATATATATGTAGGATGCAAATATTTTGTCTTTTAGTTTTAGTTTTAGAAAGACAAAAGTGCACCTTTAATCATTTACCTTTTTGTATGGACTATATGTATCACGTCGTTTATGCTCAATTTAATAAAATTGAATCAATTCAATTAAATAAAATTTTATGTGTAATTATTTTTAATGACTTTTTATTTTTTATATATTAGAATACCGATAAAATATCATGTATTTTTTTCTTTTACTATCATTAATAAAAAAATTAATTTATATTTAATATCATTGAGCATCATGTTTCTATTGGATGGAGTATATATTGATAATTTTGGTGTTTCGGCTCCATGCAAGAATTTCTCCTAATTTTATATAAGATTATAGTTTAAACTCTAAAGTGAGTTATACCATATATATTAGTTTTGCTTTGATTATCTGAAATAAGAAGCAAGAATAAAAGAGAAATTAACCATATATTCATGAAACATTGGAGTCCATAAATTAAAACTTGATTCTACTTTTGAATTTTGAGCACTACATAGATATATAATACATATAGTACACGGCACATTTCAAGACGATATATATAGAACCAATTACACTTGCTGAAAATAATAAACTTGATCAAATCTAATTGATGGCTTTAAACTTCTCTGCTATTATTCCTTGACGAGAATATTCCAGATTTTAACGTAGCCATCGATATGAAGTCGGTCCTGAACTAATTAACTTTCCGACAATTGGTCCTAATCTGACCGTTGGATCCTGTGAGAGGGCTGAGATTTCCCATTTTGATCATAGCATTGGCGAAGTCAGCTCTGAAAGTCGCAAGGTTGTTGCTGTAAGCAGTGACTTGAGAATCTGTGGATCCGCCATTGAAGAGCTGTTGATCAGAGTGCAGCAAGCCCTTCTTGCTCAACAAGTTCTTGAAGTAAGCGTTGTCGAACGTGTTGGGAGTGGTCGTGTCGAGATTCGCCAGGTTGGAGTCACCACCTGCGCTCGGACAGTTTCCTTGTAACGTCGTTGCGAACGAGGAATCAATGTTGGTCTCGTTGTAAATTCTCGCTCTAAAGTTGGTACACTGTGCTTTCCCTATTGTGTGAGATCCTAAATAATACACAAGGTTTATATACTAATCAACGTCAACTATGATGATTAAATTATTTTGCACACACATAAGTAGATATGCCGCTGTATCTCAATTCAAAACTTCAAAAAACTAGTTTATGGATCTTTTTCACTTATAAGATTCTATTTCAGTTCAACTCTATCTAACGTGGGACTCTACATCCCAACTGAATTACCTGATAGAGCAACCATTTCTTTAGCAGTGAAACCTTTGTTAGAGAAAGCAGTGATAAGAGCACTAAGATCCAAAGTTGGAGCCGGCAAGTCGGAGTTAGCAGAACTTAAACTTGCTGTAGTTGAATCTCTTCTTCCCAACGGTACCGTCCAACTGGGCCCACCAAGCTGAGAAATTTCTTCAATGTGTTAATGTCTCGTCGTCTGAGATAAATATATATATGTCTCACAAGATCATTAATCTCAAGTTGATCGATTATTACTTACAGCAACAACAGAGTCTCTGGCAGCAACAGCGACGATGTCGGCGCAGGACACAAAGCCGGGGCACAAAGTCTCGACCTTGGATTTAATGGTGTCGATGACGTCGTAACCTCGGACAGAGTTAACATTTGGAAAGGCTGTCTTCTCGCCTGTAAAACTTGAAGTGTCATCTAAAAGGATAGACGCATCACATCCCTGCAGAAGCAACATGCATGGAAATGAATAACAGCGAATACTGATTAAAATTCCTTGTATGCATTCTATTGGCGTGGTCCTTAATATAATAAATAACCCAACAAATATTGGACATAAATATATAAGAGAGTTCGTACGTAGATTTAAAATTGTGCATATATATATATTGATATACTTCCTACTTGCTATATATGCCAAATGAACTGTTTGTCCAATGTGACCTAATTAAGGAACTTGCTAATATACAATGAACCTAAAAGAATAATGCACCTAATAACTTTTGTCTACACTATTTCTGTCACCTTATAATTACCCACCCCCTATATTCGCGTGGGTAGCTGTGTTTTTTATTACATCGTGTAGTGGAGCATATAATTAAATATTGCATATCAAACAAAAGCAAGACATTGTGAGTGGACTTATCTTATGTAAAAAGTCTTATATTGAATTAAGTTAGATTTAATAATTAATATAAAATAAAAAGGAAAGACAAATAAACTTAAGCTTCAAGGTAAGGTGCAGTGTCCTCCCCTTACTACATTTATAAATCCTCTTCCACTATTTCCGGACAGCCGCTACGCCTTCCTAAGAAGTTATTGGTTCAAGTGTACCCACACTGGAACAACCTGACATATAAATGATATATATATATATATATATATATGTACAGAGAGAAAGAGAGGAGTGAGACTTGCTTGAACGAAGCAATCATGGAAGTGAAGACGGAGAAGGGACGCTCCCATGCGAGCCTCTTGAGCGACAGCAGAGGTTACTGCTGTTTTAATGGTGGTAAGGGCTAAGGGACATGATGTGGCATAAAAATTTGAAGACAGCTGTGCTGAAACAATGCCAAGCACACAAGACAAGAAGAAGAAAAGGCTAAGCTTGAAATTAAGAGCCGACATCGCTATTACAACTTGAAAGAAATTGCAGAAGAAGATGAAGATATGTGTTGCTAGATTTGTAGTAAGAAGTAATGCTTGTTATGGTTTTCGAATGGGCATGTGAGTGTACTTATATAGGGGAAGCTTCGCGTGTCATGCTCAAAGGGTCAACATTGAGGAGCCCCAAATGATTTAAGAAACCGTATTTGAACATCCAAGAGTGATAGGTGCGGACCGCGTTTAGTTTCGGTGCTACAGTGACAAGCAATTTGGACTGTCTAGATTTTTAATTTCGACGGTCGGGATTTATCAATTTCATTTTATATTTTATTTTATATTTATTAAAATATAACATTTAAAATTTTAATAAATCTATCTTATCATCAACTTAGACAATACATATTTGATTTAAATGGTTTAATTTAATATTAATTTTTTATAAATTGACTACCTAAATATATTTTGAATTTTATTTATCTAGAGTATAACTAGATAGTTAATTTATAAAAAAATTTAAAAAATTAATATCAAATTGCATTGTTTAAATTGATAATAAAATAAGTTTATTAAAATTTTTAATTTTTATAATAAAAATAAAATTAAATTAAAAAAATAAAAAGTATGAACCCAGATCATCCAGATACTCATCAAATGATGAGTACCAAAATCAGACGCCTGTGTGGACCAGACCTCTCAAGGTGTTACCATGTTAGAAATGAATTTAATATTAATTTGTGTGAGGCTATTAGCTGTATTTGTGCTATACATTCTTGTTGACTTCCTAAAAATCTGCCCTCTTCTATTTGTACCGCCACGTCATTTTCAGCTATTGATTGGATTTGGATATCCAGAGATAAAAATTTTAAATTTTGTCATTGTGTTTTGTATTTGTCCTATAATTACATGATGAAGAAATGTCAACACTTTTGTCTCTCAAACTCAGTTAAATTACTGGATTAAGCTTTGTCATTTATTTATATTATATCCCCAACACTAACTGAAATAAATAATTAATGCAATTAAGTCCTTCAGATTAAATTTCTTGCTGGTGACACGTTTCTGTGCTTCTATAACTAAAATGAAGAAATTAAATATTGTCACGTATTAAAATGCAACTGCGACATCAATATGATCTTGATATATAAGAAAACGTGATGCTTATTATTCTATCAAGCAATTCCTATATATATATATATATATATACTGGCCTTTGATAAACTTTGGATATCATTAATTTCTTTTAAACAAATTCACAGGTAGTACTTGATATTTTGACACTTTCAATTTCAAGAGAAACAAATTAAATCTCATTTTTAGTTATGAATATTGTGAAAAATAATTAACCGTCGGAAGAATAAGATTAGGATGAAAGATGATTTTTATAGACTATAGGTTACTAAAAGAATTATTTAAAAAATTGACACCGATTCAATCGCTATGACAAGAATGACATCATGCTTTACTTCGATAGATTTTGGCCCAAAAAAACAAACAAACAAACTCAGTAGATTGTATAAAAGTATATTATATTTTTTTATTTATATATTTATATAAATTAGAGTATGTAGGATTTTTTTTAAAAAGTATCCGTCCCTGCCTGCCACAACAAATTAAATCTCTCTTCAGTTAATTATAACGTATACTTTTCGTAAATTTGCATAAGCCAAATTACATCTACTAATTATATAATTGTTGTGGGTTAATTGAAAGATTATCACTTTTTATTATCAAAATTTATTTATTTATAATCGAAATGCGTTGACTCGCCTAAATATCATGTCGGTGACAGCACATAAATGAGAACCAGTCATTCCCAAGATTAGCCTATCCTTAATTTCCATCCTAATTAAACATTCATGGGCATCCACAACTAGTTATTAATATCAAACTACTCATCTAATTCTATTTATAAATCAATTTTAACATATTTAATTGGAATAAAAAAATCTTAAAATTCATTAACTCTATCTACAAAGTTTATAATTTTCAACTTTAATTTGTTCCTATTAAATATACATATTTTAGTAATATGTTTTTCTCTTCAATATTCAATGAATGGTTAATGAAAAAATTTGTAATGAATATGTAATGAGATGGCTTATAAATATGATCCCAAAAAATATTTTCTTTATGTCCTATAAATAGGACTAGAAGAGGGGCGAGTGTGTCTGTATGTTTATTCTAATTAACCTTCTCATGTATTTCCAAAAAGAAACGTTAACACTTCTCACGCTGACACCTCAAATTCAAACGCTTCCCTGTAAAACTATGCATCACAATCACATACAACGAAATTTCAAGAGATAAACCGCATTTTATTCCATAATTCCCACAACGACACGATTAAGTTACGGATGCGTTACATTGGAAAAAGATCTTTGGGATCGAAAACAGGGAAGAGAAAAATATAAAATTTCGTTTTTTGGTGTGGAGGAAATACTTTCTCTATCCATTATTTTGGCGGAAAGTAGACTGAAATTTTAATTATGGTCTCGTCAGGGGAAAGCACCCCACACATTTTCCTTAAATTCAACGATTAAGCTGTAAAAATTAAATACTCATAGGTTGCGTTTGGATAGATAAATTTGAATTGAGAATTTAAATTTAAAATATCACATTTAAAATTTATAAATTCAAAATTTTTTGTTTGGATAACAAAAAATTTTAAATTATAATATTAAAATCATTTGTTTGGATCTCAAATAAAATTCAAAATTTTAAATTCTATATTTGAATTTAAAGATAAATCAGATGATGTTAATGGTCCAGTCCTAATCAAACTTATCCATCCAATCCAAATTAAAGTTAGCAACTTGGTCTCAATTGGCTCCAACTATTTGATTACAGCAGTCTAAGGGCTATAGATTGGACTTGGCTGATGACACTAAATTGTTCCTTATTAATAGTGGCATTTGGCGTTGAACAATGAAGACAATCGGATTGAAGATGGTGATTGCACACCAATCTTGGATTGCCACCACATACCAACAAAGGTTGGATGCGATGAACTAGCACCGAATGGTTGTAGTGGACCAAAAATGAACTACAACATTAGACTACCATCAAATAACGACGATGACCAGACATCAAATGGCGAGGGAGGGTGGTCTTGATCATCGCAGGTGGTCTAGTCCTAGTCAACACTGGTGATCTAGTCCTAATCAAAGCTAGCCATTTAATCCTAATCAAAGCTGGCCATCAGGTCTTGGTCAACACCAATGGTTCTATCCTAGTTGTCACCAACGGTCCAATTCTAGTTATCTCCAGTGGTACAATCCTAGTTGGTGCTTCCATATGGTCTCCAGTGGTAAAATTCTCTATTTCACAAGAAACTTACATTGGCAAATCAAACATTGACTATAAATATAAAAGAAGATTTATATTTTATTTGACCTGAATATAATATAGAAATACATGTGATTAAATTTGTCCTCATTGACAGAAACCCTTTACAAAATATTGTATTTTGTCACACATCATAACCATATACACACACTTCGATTCAGAATTCATCTCGAAGTTAATTATCTCAATTATTGATTCTCTCTTCTTTCAACTGTCCAAATTAATTCGAACATCTCTTCTCTCATGATCTCTCCAATCGTTAAGTTCATACCTTTCCCTTGACTCTCTCTTTCGAAGGGCCAAACCCTTCAAATGAGTCGATGCAGAATGAAGTCGCGAAAGAGTGAGGGAGGATCAGAAATCAACACAGCTTCTACATGAGAATAAATTAAAGTGTGTGTGGTTGTGAATTTGAAGTAGAACAAAATAAAACGATTTCTTTATAGTTTTTGCCAACTAAGACAAATTTGATCATCTATATATCTTCCATATCTACACCTTTGGTCAAATAAAATTTCAATATTTCTGACATTCATGGTTAACATTTACCAATCTATGTCTCTGTTATAGATTGGGGATTTGCGCATTTTTTTTAGGATTGACAGGAGAAAATGCACAATAGTATAGTATTTTATGAGTATTCTTTCTGCCAACTTATTTACACGTGACACAACTTGTGGGACTAACATTCCTTACTTAATGAAGGTCTAACCTCCATTTATAGATTAGGGATTTTTGCATTATTCATTAGTATGATCAAATTACACCGCAGTAGTGTAATTTAGGAAGCTTGTAGCTCTTTTAAAAAAATGCGTTACGAATATTATTGCCCATTTTTCTCTAAAATCAATATATCCCTCTATATACTCATTAAAATCAATTTTAGTTGTTAATTCCTCCATTAGACATGTTAAGGATTTGAACCGGAAAAGAAGTTCAAATTTTAGAGTGTTCATGCATAAATAAAAACATTTTTTTAAGATAACGCACCAATTTTTCAATGACATTTTTTTTTTGCAAATAGCTAGCTTAAAATTTAGAAATTTTTTCTATAATTTACCTAATATTAATATGTTAAAGAAAAGAAAATTAGGAATATTCCATACAACACTCAATTTATCAATGCATACGGCAAAGGTGGCGTTGGTGGAAGGATGCTTTTCCTACTGGAGTGTTTGGATTTCTTTTCTCAAAATCATGACTTAGGTCGGCATAATTGATTATTTGGGGTTATCAAAACAGACTGTACATAAGCGAAGTCAACCACGCGGTTAGCATACAAAGTGGACAAAACTTTCTAAGAATCTGAATTCTCGAATGCGATTTTTGCATATCATTTCCATTTTTCATTTCTTTGTTTATACTTTGTTTTTTTTTTAAACCAACTTCTTTGTTTATTCTTTTGTAATAAGAACTGCTATCTAATTGACTTTGGAATCATTTCTTGGGACCGCGTGGATTTTTTTTGGGGCCAATGCGAACGTGTGCGATCGAATGTCCTATAATTAAAAGCATTGATTCTTACTGGACACATACTATATACATAGCAGCAGCAGCAGCAACAACAGTAGTAGTTTGGGGCCAATGTGAATGCATGCGATCGAATGTCCTATAATTAAAAGCATTGATTCTTACTGGACACATACTATATACATAGTAGTAGTAGTAGGAGGAATAGCAGGAGCAAGAGCAAGAGCAGCAGCAGTAGCAATTTGGGGCCAATGCAAATGCATGCGATCGAATGTCCTATAATTA